CACCTGCAGCCCAACATTAAACACAAAACTAGAAAAAAATACACAGAAAATGACAGAAGTGAGTAAAAAGATGAGACAAAATGACACAAAGGGACAGAGCGAGGCGCCGACGGGCAGCGCAGGACGAGGCCTCATGCTGTTTCTTCCTCCTGGTGTTTGCAGGATGGAGAGGATCAAATCACGACAGCAGAAGTTCCGCAAAGGAAAAGAGAAAATGCTGAGCGTGACCCAGGACAGCGTCCACACCGACGGTCTGTGAACACGCCTGTTGCCATGGTAACTCAGCGGCACACACGGCTGCACACAGAGTGAACTTATGCGTGTTTCCGTGTTCAGGTCAGGAGAGCAGGAAGCGGCAGAAGGAGTGGTGGAGGCCCTGGGTGAACCACGCCTCCAGTGAGTCACGTGACCTGTGATGTCATGGCGCCCACCTGTCAGGTGAAGCAGTTCAGTGCTCAGGTGTGTGTGTGTGTGTCTGCAGTGGTGCGCAGCGGCGATTACTACCTGTTCGAGACGGATAGCGAGGAGGAAGAGGACGAGAAGAGGGAGGAGGAGGAGGAGAAGGAGCAGGAGCTTCCGGAGAAGTCGGCGTTCCAGGTGAGTGGTGACCTGGACGCGCTGATGGCCGCCAGGTGCTGTGAGTCCGGACCGAACAGACTCTGAGTCCAGATTCAACCAAACTAATTTCTTTTAACAAACATCCAAAATGACTCAATTTATCAGCCCGACACCGTGACGACACCAGAACCAGCAGGTTGGACCTTTAACCAACAGTCCTCTAGCGTGTCACGTGTGACCCGTGGTTCTGACAAAACCAAATCACTTTATTGTACAGGTCTCAGCTGGTCCTGTAGAACCAGAACCTTCCCCCTCCCGGTTCTGACCCTGTAGAACCAGAACCTTCCCCGTCCCAGTTCTGACCCTGTAGAACCAGAACCTTCCCCGTCCCAGTTCTGACCCTGTAGAACCAGAACCTTCCTCCTCCCGGTTCTGATCCCGTAGGACCAGAACCTTCCTCTTCCCGGTTCTGACCCTGGAGAACCAGAACCTTACCCCTTCTGGTTCTGACCCTGTAGAACCAAAACCTTCCCCCTCCCGGGTCTGACCCTGTAGAACCAGAATCTTCCTCCTGGATCTGCTCAGGCGTGTGTTTCTGCTTCCTGTCAGTTCGTCTATCACGCCTGGATCACCGACTCCAGAACGGCCATGAGAGCTCACAGCAACCAGAAGAAGCTGCTGAAGAAGAACTCGTCTGAACGAAAGAGCAGGACGGACGACAAGAGGGCAGGTGAGGAGGACTGGTTTAGACTGGTTTTAGATGAGATCAGACTGGTTTTACACTAGATCAGACTGGTTTTAGATGAGATCAGACTGGTTTCAGACTAGATCAGACTGGTTTTAGACTGGATCAGACTGGTGTTAGACTAGATCAGACTGGTTTTAGACTGGATCAGACTGGTTTTAGACTNACTGATCTTCTGGATCCTTTTCCATCTTTGTCCAGTCTCTCAGTCAGATGTTTCTCCTCCTCTGTTCAGGTCTTCTCCATGTGGAGCCATGATGCAGACATAGATAGACACAGTCCAGAGGTCCAGAACTGAGAAGGTTCTGCTGCTCTCAGCTCGTTGTAGAACCATGTTCATGCAGGTGGACTGGTGGGAACCACAGCTGGACTCACTGTGGTTCTTTGAGGTTCTACTTTGGAGCCTGAATTTAATTCTGTTAGTTTTTAATTTGACATCAGAGGAAATAATCTGCAGTTCAGCTTGAAAGTAATCTGATTACTGTGAGATGCATAGCTTAAATTCATGGGGTGGACTTGTGGATTTTATTTATGTAAGAACAACAGACATGTAAGTTCAGCCCTCTTCTTCTTCTTAACAGAAAAGTGTGAATGTTGTCTGTTGTTGTGTGACACTCATGGATCTGAGTTAGTAGAACTGTTCCTGAAGCTCAAGAACCTGAAGCAGCAGTTTGTTGTGCGTAACAGTGACGGAGAGGCGGAGCAGCAGCCGGCCGGGTCCTGCTGCCTGCTGCCCCCATCCCACAGCCTCGCTCTGGGGCTGGACCAACAGGAAGCATGTCCCTGCGGACCTCCACCTCCAGCACGAACCCAGGAGCTGACTGCCAGCGAGCTGCTGAGGAACAGGTGAGGTCACGTGACCGGAGAGGCCCCGCCCACCGACCACCCACCTGTGTCTCACTTTTGTCATTTTCTATCTCGTTAGTGTTGTTTTGTCTCATTTTTGTAAGTTGAACTTGTTTCCTGTCTCGTTTTTACTGCGTTGTGTCGGGTTTTTGTCTCACCCTTCTCTCTGTGTTGCAGGACTTTCTATGTCGACGAGTTGGAGGCATCAGACCGTTTCTATAGCAACCAGCCCCAGCTACTCCAGCTGTGCTACGCCCTCTACAGCATCCTCGCCGCCAGGTGAGCCGTCTTCTGTCAGGATGACATAAATCAGATAAACACAGAAACATTTCTTTGATTATGTATTTTACTAAAATGTAAAAACCTGGAAACGACATGTCCAACATGTTTCCAACACTAAAACTAATGTCTCCTGGTCCTGCAGATGTTGAGCTATCTCCATGTCTCCAGACTTTTCCTCTCTGCTCTGCTCATCAGCTGTAGAAAGATGTTCCACCATCAGATGTAGAAAGATGTTCCANGATCAGACTGGATCAGACTGGTTTTAGACTGGTTTTGGGCTGACTTTAGATTTTTGGGCAGGTTTTAGATTAGTTTTGGGATGCTTTTGAAATGGTTTTGGATGAGTTTTGAACCAATGTTGAATAAGAATTAGACTGGCTTTGGACTAGTTTTAGATGAATTTAGAACTCTGGGCTTGTTTGGAACCAGTTTTAGACTAGTTTGGGTTAGATTTGGACTAGTTTTAGACCACTTTAGGACTAGTGTTGAACAAGTTTTGTCCGTTTTTAGACTAGTGTTGGACTAGTTTTATACGAGTTTGGACTAGTGTTGGACTAGTTTTATACGAGTTTTGGACTAGTGTTGGACTAGTTTTGGACCAGTTTTGGACTAGTGTTGGACTGGTTTTATACGAGTGTTGGACTGGTTTTGGACCACTTTTGGTCTAGTGTTGGACTAGTTTTATATGAGTGTTGGACCAGTTTTGTACCACTTTTGGTCTAGTGTTGGACTAGTTTTGGACCACTTTTGGTCTAGTGTTGGACTAGTTTTATATGAGT